TATTAGAAGTTTCTTCGTCTTTGTATGTCAAAATTTTATGGTACTGAGTAAGAGTGGAGTTTGTTCTCGAAATCTTTGATTTATTGGGTGTTTCTGAAGAGGAATCAGCTGCATTATTGAATTTTCTGAAGAGGGATTTAACTGGTTAGACTTAGTGAATAGTTTCTGGAGCAGAAATAGCACCAACCTGAAATACAACAAACCAGTAACATTGACTTCAAGCGAACTTTTTGATAGTTTAATGGCTTAAAACTCTAATTATGTCACGTAAATTGGGACAGATGGACTTAGCAAATTTGCTTCTCAACTTTGACTTGGTTGAGTTCTGTTTATAGAATTTCTGTATCATAACTGTATTGCGTCGCGTAGGAGGGACTTGCTGAAACTTAATAAAAAACTGTATCAGAACTGTATTTCTGTATCTTAGGCATTTTAATCCACACAACAATTGGTTCCTACTAGGTCTAAGGCTGCAATATAGTTCTCATTTTCTCCTTTAGTCGGAGTCTTTTTATCAAGACAGTTTATGTATATATATATATAGAGAGAGAAAGTTCAGCCTCCTTAAAAGGCCACTCGAAAATGTAATATAGCAGTAAGTAAGCTATTTTCTAATGGTTTATCTCAACAAAGTGAACATTACCTTTTCTAATGGTTTTTCTTAAGCAGCTTCTTTTTCCTTGTCTTCCATGTGCATTAAACATATTGCTCGAGGCATTTTACGACTAGTTTTGACATAATTATCATTTAGAAAAGGCCGTTGAGAAGACATAGCATTGTTTAGGTGCGTAATTCATCAGACTAATTATACTTTACTAACATTTGTATGTGATGAAATACCAGGAGAATTGCTGAACTGAAAGAGCTGGAATGTCGAAATGCTGTAGAGGATATTTTGTACATGTTAATAGTTTACAAGTTCTCCGAAATCGGAGTGCACTTGGTTCCAAAGCTCTCCAAATGCATGTACAATGGCAGACTCGAGATATGGCCATGTCGAGACTGGGAGCTCGAGTCTATTCATAGCTTTGAAGTACTCGAAATGGTAAGAGAACATCTTACTACTGTTATCGGATGGAAAGAGAAGTCGAACGTGACAGAAAATTGGATCCCTACTCAAGTCCCTAAGTTCCAAATCCATCGAGTTTATGCTGCTTCGATTCTATATGGATATTTTTTGAAGTCGGCCTCATTGAGGCACCATATGGAACAGAGTCTTGAACATATCAACTCTGATATTGGTGTTACTACTTCAGGAAACCTCTTAGTTTCAGGGTCGTGGCCGTTAAAACAAAACAGCGTTCCCTTTGGTCGTATCAGTGGCACACGATCTACATTAGCCGGTCCAACATCACTTATCCAGGGGAAGAAGAATGAAAAACTTAGGTCTTATGTTATGAATTTTGACCATGAAATAATGCAGATGTGTGCAAAACCAAAATGCAAGGAGGCACTGTATCTGATTGAGAAGCATTGTTCTGCGCTTTTTGGCGATGAGAGCGATGAGGTAGTTTCCACGTCATTGGCGAGTCTGAAAAGGATTGTGTTAGAGGCTGTTGCCTTCGGTTCTTTCCTTTGGGATGCAGAAGACTATGTTAGGACATTTTATCAGCTCGAGGAGAACTAGCAACACCAAAAGGGCGATTTTATCAGCACGATATAAGCATCGTAGTTTTGATCTCATTTACGTACACATAACGAGGAAGTCTACTCTTGACTTTCGCCATGTAATGGTGTAAGGGAAAATTGTGCTGATTCCGCGTGTGCTTATATATCTCATCAATCGACACCTGCTGCAAAAAAGAAGAAAGAGGCTCAAGATTATAGTATATATAGTAGTAGATAGTAGTTGGATGATATAATCTGTAGTAGAGTTGTCACATATACTGCAATTTTCTTGATGTATATTCCAGGTATTCATTATCTGTGGATTTACACTGCAAATTTGGAGTTGTATAGAGCATTATCCCTAGTATATAAATAATTAGATGTGAGCACTTTCATGATTTTTGACATATTACTAGTGGTAAAAAGAGAATATCTTGCCTTTTATTGCCAATGGTACTATAGATTCCTATGGATATCTTATTTGTCTCTTTAGGGAAATGGATATTTGCAGAAAAGATATTAAGTTCAATTCGTTTTTTTTCTCTCCACTTCTGGATTCCAGACCAACCTATCGACCCGATTTTTTAGATTTAAGGTGATTTGTATATTTACCAAAATGATACATTGTTCCGTATCATTATGAAAATAGATCTGGCCAAGATATGCACCTCTTCAAGAACGAAAAAAAATCGATCTACTTTCATTTGGTATTTTGGCCTAAATTTTTTGACTTCTCGATACTCAATCAAATCCTATTTTTTATGTCTGAATACATCTCTATAGTCCCATGTTTAATAAAACCCGAACTCAGTATTCAGTTCCCACAGGTGATACCACATAAACAAATTATTCATTTAGGTGATATCAAATCGTTACATGTCATATAAAAAAGTTACATGTACTTTGCTTTTAAGTGCTATGATAGGAGTTTTTGATCAATATTGTCCCTTATCTTTTAGGGTAGGTCTATTTTGGTCCCTCAAACATAACCTTGAGCATAATTAGTCCCTTAAGTATGCTAAAGTGGAACACCTTTAATCTCACTAACAGAATGTGTTCAAAAACTAATAATGTTAACCAACTCTAAAGCAAATCTTCTGCTCTGAAGCAAAACGTTTCCTCTCCTTTTATTGGATAACACAAATTATCACTTTAATTCCTCATTTTTAGATAATGTCTTCTAAAATTTTGACCTTGAAAATGTCCCCGTATGTGCCAGTTTTCAATGAGAAAATGACACTATACCACTGTAAAAATAATAACCATATATATATATGCGGGCTAAAAGTGATTATAGAATCTGGTTATTCGTTGCTTCAATAATATATGCATAGAAGTGACCTTGGCAGCTCTATTTTTTTTTCTTTTTCAAATTTTAACTTATTCTTTTTGGAAAAATCAATCGTAATTGTTAAATTTATCAGCTATGTAATATTAGTGGGTGTTGGTTTATAAAATATTTTTGATAAGCAAATTAAAAAGACGATGAATGCCTAAACCAATACCCGTAATTAATCTTGGACAGATTTTGTCAGTGAGACTAAAGACGCTCCACTTTAGCATACTTAAGGAACTAAATATGCTCAGGATTATATTTGAGGGACCAAAATAAATGTACCATAAAAAATAAGAGACAATATTGGCCAAAAACTCGATCTGATAATGTAAAATTTCTGACATTATTCATGTACACTAGTTAAACTCCAGGCGCAATGCTAGCTTTGACTTGGGAATAATGCATTGTAAATATACTTTTAGGAGAACTGGTTCATTATTGGCTAAGCTTTAAAACTTGAAATTAAAAACTTTATCACTGCAATACTCTCAGCAACATGATTTTCACTGTCCAAATCTTCTTGAATATTATTGGTTGAAAGAAAAAGGCAAGTGCCATGAGATAATTGTTATCTACAGGTGAATTTCACGCATGAAGGTATAGAGAATAATAAAATAAAATAAATAAATCGGATTTAAGCTTATTGATATTTGATTACACATTTGCAAACTGACCTTTTTTCGGTATCTTACTTGCATTTATTTATTTATTTATTTATTTAACTACCATTATATTTCATTTATTACTATTGAATGTTGTCTTCTTAGTTCTTGGACCAATAAATATTGTTGTTGTTACATATTTATTGATATTCACTGAAACTTGCGGCATTTTGTCACAAAATTAGTTAAATGGCCTTTTGAATATGAATATTGGCTAAGATTAATTCTATTTTATTAAAAAATTTAATTGTTTAAACCTAGACTTAAATTTTGGGTCAAACAGTTTGGCGCTGTTTTTGGAAGTGTTCTCATCTAATTTTTTAGTTTCCACTAGATCTACGACTCACGTGACTTGTTAATCTAACAAACCACAAAGTTTATCTCTCTTCTCTTTGCGTACAAAATTTTCATGGCATGTAACCAAGGAAATGGAACGAGGGCAACAGATAATATTCCCCTCAACATCATGAATGCTATCAATGAAGGCTATGATACCCATGATGAGGGGATAACGCCTACGGCCTCCCCTAGATGAGAAAGGTCACCCTTACCTTTCTGCAGTACGACAAAACCAAACGGGAAAGGACCCTCTACGTCCACGGGAGAGGTGATGCCACCCGCTATGAAAAAGCTCCTCGAAGAATGGATAACTAATACCCTAGTAAGCGTGCTCAACAAACAAGATCCATGCACGACCACAAAAGCCACGAGAGCGCTTGCAATACAGCTAGGGGACGAACAAGGCGACCAACCAGACCCTCCAACTTCAGGTAAAACTCACGATGTTATTGACATGCAAATGACAATGTCCTCACCACCATCTTAAAAAGAATGAAAGAAATGGAAAATGAAAACAAGGCGCTCAGAGACCAAATGAAAGAGCACTAGGAACGAGTAGACAAGATACTTGTGGCCCCCAAATTATTGCCAAAAAGGGATGCCCATAGGTTCATAGAAGACCCATATACTGAGGAAACGACTCCATATATCGTACCAAAGACCTTAAGATGCCCCTATATCTCAACGACGGGACAACCGACCCCGAAAACCATGTGACTCACTACGTCACTGCTATGAAAGGCAACGACCTCACCAAAGAGCAGGTGCCCTCCATTTTGCTGAAAAAAATTTGGTGAAGCCCTCATTGGAGGGGAATTAACATGGTATTCACACCTACCAGCCCATTCAATAGAAAAGTTCAAGTAAATGGATGATAAGCTCATGACGACACACACGAGGGCCAAGAAAGTCGAAACAAGAGTAATCAACATCTTTGTCATCAAACAAACCCCAAGAGAGGGACTGAGGGACTTCTTCGCCAAGTTCAACAGGGTAAGGATGAAACTACTGAGCTGGTTAATGAAGTATCCACCAACCACATGGGATGAATCAAAATGCCTACTGTGCCGAGGTTAGAGCAAATGATGATGACCTCAATAGACCAACTCGATAACTCACCTCGGTAGAATCCGAGCCCCGAAAAGAACGCAGGGATAACATAATGAGAGACTATCCTGTACCGCACCCAAGCAGGGAGCGACATCAGCGCTATGTCAGTACGCCCGCTCTCCCCCTTTTCTCTACAAAGACAGTTCGGCCAGGCCGAGATTAGGAACTCACAAGAACGATAGAGGTATGCCCCATTTTTATCTGCTCATAATTTTTGTATTTCACCTATAGAGGTGGTATACGCCCTTTAGAAGCTCGGAATGAAGGTAAAATGGCCGCAAAAGATGAGGTTCGATTGGACCACTAGGAAATCTGGTGCCCTCTGTGAATTCTACCAATAATGTACACAAAATAGAAGACTGCATTGCCCTAAGGCTAGAGGTAGCGAACCTACTGCAGCAAGGGCACATCAAAAAACTACTCAGCGACAAAGACAAGAACACCTTAGTAAGGGGACGAGAATGTCCAGACCCACCAAAGCCCCATTTACCAGCTCGCACCATCAATATGATTATTGGTGGTAGCAACGACGCCTCTATCAATGACAGTAAGTTCACCGCCACCCATATGCTCAAAAGATCAATCACCTATGAACGGTATAACGGAATCAAAGGGAGTATCATCTACGATGAGTCAAATGCTGACGATTTAACTTTCCCTCACAATGATGCACTTGTCATTACTCTACAAATTGTTGATACTCATATGAAGAGAATCATGGTAGATGATGGAAGTGGAGCGTGCATCATCCACCCCCTATTCCTCGCACAGATGAGGCTCGAGGATAAGATAGTGCCACGTTGCATCACACTCAACGGTTTAAACAATGCAGTTGAATAGACTTCGGGAGAAATTACACTCATCATTCTCGCCAGTGGGGCGACTCTAGAGACAACGTTCCACATCATGGATAAGGACACCACGTACAACGTCATCATGGGACAACCGTGGATACACCCTATGAGAGCCGTCCCCTCCAGCTTATACCAAGTGATCAAATTCCTAACACCTTGGGGGATAATCAGCATACGAGGGGAACAACACACATCTGGGGAGTGCTACCGAATCGCCATGGACAATACGACTACTCAACAAAAGAAAGAAAAATAAGCATAGCAATCAGCAGGGCTGATGTCATCATAAGATGAAGCCGAGAAAGTTATCATATATCCCAAAATAGTCAAAGCTGCAGAGTCAACCATAGAAGAACTCGACCCCGTCCAATTATATCATAGTGACCACAGCAAAAAGGCCTACATCGGCTGCAAACCTCGAAAATCAGGTAAATTTACTCAATTCTTAAAAACCAATGCGGATTTGTTTGCCTTTAGTCATGCAGACATGCCAGGTATCCCCAAAGAAATTGCCACACATAAGCTGAATGTAGACCCTTTCCACCTGACGGTAAGGCAGGTTCGACGAAAATTCAACCCCGCCATCAATGAGGATGTCCACGAGGAAGTAGACAAGTTATTAGCGAACGACTCTATCAGGGAATCAGAGTACCCCAAATGGATTGTCAATGTAGTGATGGTAAAAAATAAAAACGGGAAATGGAGGATGTGCGTTGACTTCACGGACCTAAACAAAGCATGCCCAAAAGATTCATTCTCATTGCCGCACATCGACCAACTCATCGATGCAATAGCGAAGCACGAGCTGTTAAATTTTTTAGGCGCATACTCGGGTTACAGTAAAATACTCAAGGAGGAAGAAGTCCAAGAAAAAACCATGTTCGTTACCCATAGAGGAACGTATTGTTATAGAGTTATATCATTTGGGTTAAAGAATGCAGGGGCTACCTATGAAAGGTTGTTTAAAAAAATGTTCAAAGACTAACTCGGCAAAACCATAGAGGTATATATCGACAATATGTTGGTAAAATCCATGACGAAGATCATATCGACCATCTGAAGGAAGCTTTTGATATACTAAGACAGTACGGGATAAAGCTAAACCTCGATAAATGCGCGTTTGGCGTAGCCTCGGGAAAATTTTTGGGCTTCTTATTATCGCAATAAGGAATTAAGTTCAACCCATAGAAAATCAAGGATATCGATCGGATACCTGAGCAATTGACCACTAAAAAGGTCCAAAGATTGACTAGTCGAATTGGAGCCTTATCGAGGTTCATCTTGCAGTCGTCCGATAAATGTCACAGGTTTTTTCGGCGTACTAAAAAAGGATTACGGCCTCAAGTGAACACTTGAGTGTGTACAAGAACTGCGAGAACTGAAGGCATACTTGTCATCAGCACCCTTACTCTCGAAGCCCGAACCCGGAGAGAACCTCCTCGTCTACCTAGCCGTCTCTAAAGTAGCAATAAGTGAGGTCCTGATTCGAGAAAATAAAGGTACACAATCTCCTATTTATTATATCAATAAAACACATGTTGATGCCGAGACGAGGTACCCACACCTCGAGAAATTATCCCTTGACCTGGTCATAGCTTCACGAAAGCTTAGACCATATTTCTAGTGCCACCCTATCTCGGTCATCACCAGTTTTCCTCTAAGAAGAATTTTACATAAATCCGAGCTATCGGGGAGGCTAGCCAAATGAACCATCTAGCTAAGTGAGCACAACATCACATATCAGCCTCGAACATCAATAAAGTCAAGAGTGCTCGCTGACTCGTCGTAGACTTTAGCGCAAAAGTAATGGCAAAGGCCGAGAAGGAATCCGACCAAGCTTCTATTCAATCATAGGACTTCTGGGTCTTGTACACCGACAACACATCCAATGCTTCTAGGTCTGACTCGTACTCGTACTTGAGGTCCCTACGAGCTAAGTAATTCTCCAGTTGATAAGATGCCCGGATACGACTAACAATGAGGCCGAGAATGAGGCCGCAATTGCAAGATTGAGGTCGTAATTGCAAGATTAAGGCTGACACTCAAATATGGGGCGAAGCGGTAGAAACTCCGTTGTCATTCTCAACTCGTAGTCAACCAAGTTACATGGACTTTCCAAATCAAAGAACAAAGATTGCAAAAATATCAGGCCGAGATGTGTAAATTGCTTCCCAATTTCGACGAATGCCAGCTTGACTGGATCCCACGAACTCAAAACATCGAAGCAGATGCCCTCGTCAAAATGGCCGCCACCACCAAAAGCATAACAGTCAGAGTAAAAAATGTAGTCCATCTCCTTAACATGTCATTAGATCAAATCGAGGTAAAATCTGTTAATTTAACTTGGGACTGCCGCAATTGTATTGTTACATATTTGCGGGATGGAATCCTCCCAAACGACAAAAAGGAAGCTAAAAAACTAAGAATGCAAGCAGCTAGATACAGCCTCCTTCATAACGACTTGTACAAGAGAACGTATGGCGGTCCTTTGGCAAAGTGTTTAGGCCCAAACCAAACCCAATGCATTCTCAAGGAAGTCCATTAAGGCCATTGCGGCACTCATTCCGGTGATCGACCACTCGTCAGGTGCCTCATACGGGCCAGATACTATTGGCCTACCATGAAGAAAGACGCCTCAGAGTTCGTAAAGAAATGCGAGCAATGTCAGAAATATGCCCCAATAATCCACCAAGAAGGCAAACACTTTCATACAGTTACCTCTCCATGGACATTTATTAACTGCAGAATAGACATTGTGGGTCCACTCTCGCCGGGGCGAGGTAATATATGATTTCTTTTAGTTTTAATGGAATATTTCTCTAAATGGGTGGAAGCGGGGGCATTTTCCCAAATTCATGAGCAAGAGGTAATCACCTTCATATGGAAAAATATCATTTGCTAATTCGGCCTTCCTAAAGAGATAAGTTGCGACAACAGACCAAATTCACAAGAAAAAGAACCACCGAGTTCTTCACAAATTGGCATATCAAAAGAATACTTTCAACCCCCTACCACCCAGCTGGTAATGAACAAACGGAATCCTCCAATAAGACAATACTAAACATCATGAAGAAGAAACTTGAAGAGGCACAGGGAATGTGGCCAGAAATACTCCCAGAAGTATTATGGGCGCATAGAACTACCCCGAAAATGAGCATAGGAGAGACACCTTACTCTCTCATCTACGGAATAGAAGCAATCATTCCAGTCGAAGTCAGAGAACCCAGTTTAAGGTACTCTCACGAAAATAGCAACTACAATGACGAGAACAGGAGGCAAGACCTTAACGAGGTCGAGGAGTGACAAGACATGGAGTATATAAGGATGGTCACTCAAAAATAGCAAGCAGAGTATTATTACAACAAAAGGCAAAGGTTCGATTACTCAAGATCAGGGATTACGTACTCAAAGCCAAAACTCAAGCAAACAGGGATCCACGAGAAGGAAAATTGGGAACAAACTGGGACGGACCGCATAAAATTGTAGGCAAAGCAAATAAAGGCTAGCTCTAATTGGAAACCATGGAACATCAGCCATCTCAAGTACTTCAACTTCTAAGAAACAAGAAGTGCCCCGTAAGTCGTAGTCATTTTCCCTTACTTTAGTTTTGTCCCAATAGGATTTTCTCAAGGAGGTTTTTAACGAGAAGATGAGTGGGATACTTTGAGTTAGAATATACGATAACACAACGATTTTTTATTCCCCGACTCCTCAAGTTTCTCCAAGTCAAACAATGAAGGGACTAGACATACTAGGTGTAATGACCTGACCGGTCGTTTTGAGGTTTTGCACTTTACTCACTAGTTCTCGGGCATGACTAGCCCTGTGTTATGTATTATGACATGTAAATTTTCGGTTTTGGTTTTCAGGATAATCGAAATAAATTTGAAAGAACAATTCTCAGTTTGAAGCTTTAAATTTGAAAGGTTTGACCAAGTTTTGACTTTTGAGTATTCAATCTCGGATTTGAATTTTTATGATTTGGTTAGCTCTGTTAGGTGATTTTGAACTTGGGAGTGCGTCCAGAATATGATTTGGAGGTCCGTGATAGAGTTAAGCTTCAATTGGCGAAATTGAAAATTTAGCATTTTCCGGTCGGCAGGAGAAATTTTGATATCGATGTCGGAATGGAATTTCGAAAGTTGGAGTAGATCTGTTGTATCATTTGTGATGCTTGTGCAAAATTTCAGGTCACTCGGGTGAGGTTTGATAGACTTTTTGATCGTTTGCGAAATTTGAAGGTTCTAAGTTCTTAAACTTAAATCCGAGGCTGATTTGGTGTTTTGGTATTGTTTTGAGTGATTCGAAGGATCGACTAAATTTGAATGATGTTATGGGATGTTTTAAAATATTTGGTTGAGATCCCGAGGGCCTCAGGTGAGTTTTGGGTGATTAACGGACCAAATTCTTGGTTTTGAGAGCTGCAGATTTTGTTGGTTTTCTATTGCAGAGATTTTGTTCATCGCGTTCGCGGAGGGGTGTATCGCGTTCGCGAAGGGTATCTTCTGTGGTGGTGATTTTGTTCCACGCGTTCGTAAAGTAGAGGACGCGAACGTGAAGGTTAAGGTAGCATGTGCATTGCAGACGCGTGATTGTTGTCGCATTCGCGAAGAGGAGTGAGGCCGTTAGGGACCCCAGGTCCTTGGTCTATGCATTCGCGAGATTAGGGTCGCGTTTGCGAAAGCCTGGGCTAGCAAAGCATCACGTTCACATGGCAATGTTCGCATTCGCGAAGAGTAAAGAGGAGAGGCAGTATAATTTGGTTTACGCGAACGCGAGAGGGCGGTCGCGTTCGCGAAGAAGGAAATTGATACCTAGGCAGAATGTTTAAATAGTTGCCTTCGCGATTTTTAGCCCATTTCCCACCATTGTTGAGCGACTTTGGAGCTTTTTAAGAGGATTTGAAGAGGGTTTCAAGGTATAAAACTTGGATGTAAGATTTTTAACTCAATACTCGATTCTATGGTGATTTCTAACTAATTAGAC